GGGGGGGAGGAGGAGGGGGAGAGCTATTTATATTACTTTTGTCAACATAGGTACCCACGAGTAGCTCGATAGCTTTTGGTGCGGGGGCTACCTTGATTAGCTATTAGGTTACCAGTAGCCTGCCAGGCTATGCCACAGTGGACAAGAGGCCTAGATTTGGAAGCGGTCACGCAACCCCTCCCGGATACTTTCCACTCGAATGCGAGCTTTTGGGTGAGCTGATGTGCAGGATACCAACTGCACCCGCGGACTTCACACACGTATGATTGGACATATATCTGAAAAGCATTGGCAGCTTACGCCGAAAGTCGGGGCATCCTCTCACGCCCATCTCGGATCCAAATCATATCATTTTCGAAGTTTTCGCCTGGTTTCTTTTGCAGCAGTCCATTCGGGTTGACAGCCCTCTTGTCCATAGCTGCTTGGTTCGCTCGACTTTCGTGAGCGCTCATTCAATATATTCGCAGCTAACCGCCACGGTGGACGGCCGTTCTCTATCCACGAACTGAGTACGCGCCAGATGTCTCCGAGCATAAGCACACTGGCACTACCTACCATCGCTATCTCAAATCTGCCGCCTGCTTTCGTTTCAAATTTGAACGTCCCAGGTCAAAATTAGTAATTTTCGCGTGCGTCCCGCCTCCCGCCGACGGAGTCAAGTCATGCCACCTCAGGTCAGCACTCCCATACTGCGGCCTTTATCCCCAACAAATTTGAATGTCCCGGGTCCAAAGCGCAAATTTTCGTGCATGCCCTGTCTAGAGTCGAGTCCTACCTTCTATCGTAAGTGTTTCCAACCCCCGCCTGCACTCCTATGAAATCTTAACGCTCCATTTGCATGGAGCAGTAGTTACGAATTTTTGCTCCAAATTTATTTCGCCCTGTGGGAGGATTCCGGTATTGCCACCCACTATAAATGTTCCCGTCTTGCCGCCTGTACTCTTACCAAATTTGAATGCTCTAGGTTCACGGGGAGAGGAGTTATGAATTTCCGGTCGGACACACACACATACACACACACACCGACACGCCAACAGACGCACTTAGCGGATTACATAAGTAGGATATGTAGTGGGATAACTAGCATTAGCTGAATGTCGATGCCCCCTTGAGACGTGGGAAATGGCATTTGAAGGAAGTCGTTTCTAAGTAAGGGCCAAGATCAGTTGTACTTTTGAGCATTGATAATTTGCAAGAGATGTTTTTGGAGAATTTCAAGCTATTTTCTTGATTTTGGATAATATGTTCTAGAATTCCATGGAACCTCTTACGTTGCTAGAAAAATAATCGATCTTCTTAGTTCGTCTTCATCTGATTCTCATTTGTGATATTTCTTTTTTTTCGTAATGGTTTCTCTACCCGTTATAAGTAAGTCCACCAGTGGTAACCGACCTGATTTAAGTGTCGCCGTTTTTGTCGTTATTGCTTTCGTAGCCCTCATAGTTCTATGTGCTGCTGTTATTGTGGCAGTATTATACACTCGTACGAAGAATCGAAAGGAGTTGTGTGAGTAATCAGATTTTAAATGATGAACTCCATTCAACGAAAATTTTATTTCTTCAGCAGGTCCTCATCACACACGAAAAAAGGGGAAGAGCAGCGAGGAGACGGTGGGCTCGAAATCCTCATTTATAGAAACTTAGCAGCAGTCATGACTATTCAAAAGTCGTTTAAGACAGGTCTTCAAGGAGCCTCTAGAATTTTCCAAGCCTACCTACTCTCGATCTGCATTTAGTGACAGATCCGGAACGTTCATAGCTAGCGTTTTCATCCTCTTTTGTTCTGGATAAGCTATGTAGCGTAGTGTGAGTGGTCAGGTTAAAGTGCCTTCGAAAGCACTAGACGGCTCGAAGCTAATAGACAAGAGTTGGTAGTTGATAATGACTCTCAAAATTGGCGTGGTTCAAAGGCGAGAAACGGCAGCAATGGCTTGATCATTTGGTTCTGCTCAGTGCAATCCAATCAAACAAGACGTCCGCCTATGCGAAATCATTCGCGTAACATAATGAATACTCAACGTCGTAGTTCATTAGCGCTGCAGCCTGTGGTTAACGTTTCGAACAGGTGTTCTGGTTTGCTTCAAGAAGTGGAGACAGGCGGCTTATGATTCGCAGCCGGAATGGCCACCGCCGATCGAGCAAAATCTTGTGAACAGCAAAAATAAAAACGAGAGCCCCATCTCGATTTGGCTGAAATTTTTCTGGGTGTGCCAAGATGTCAAATAATTTGCCTTTTCGGTTTCGTTGGAAATCTTTCTGAGATGCATTTTTCTGGGATGCAACTGCAAGGTTGAATAAGTAAGCGATATCGAAGTACGGTTAACGAAATTCCGACCCAGGTGATTACTTGCTACCGTCAAAAGCAGACTAATATTTTGAGGTTCACAGATAGACGGCATTTTCCTAATAAGGGTGTCTAAGAGGGTTCGCAAGTTGTGTAGATTCGTTATGTTCAGTTGAGGTTGACCATGCGAAGGTATGCTGCTATGCTAGCCGAGTGGTATCCTTCGGCAGGGGCATGTATAATAATAATTCAAATCATGTTGACTATAAATGATCCCAATTAGTTCTTTCAGGATATGAAGCGGAAAATTATGCTGTCAAAACAGCCAAAAAAACTCAAAGATTCGACAGCGTCTAAAGAACCAGATAAGCCGGTAGAGTCCTCGACCCCGAACCAAGTGAGGGTACAGCCGTTGAAACCCAAGAAGGTGAAGGGCGAAAAAATAGATATGCGAGAATTCAATGCCAGAGGCCCTCTCGAAATGAAGGCAGAATTCAAAGGAGCAGTGGTAAGTTGCTCTGTCACAATACGCACTATCACAAACAGAAACATTGGTTATCGCCAATGCGAGGTCGTTATGAAGACATTCTATTGTGCATGCAAAATGCCATCTGAGAAAAAAAGTACCCTTTTTCATGAGGAAGTTCATTTATATGGCGTACGTGCTAGTGAAAATTGAATAACTGGGAGGCTTCATTTTCAGGTGTTGCCTTGTACTTTATGAAAAATCATCAGACTTACATGCACTCATCTCCAAAATCATTTGATCGCAAAAACAAAAATTAAGAGTATTATTTCCCTACATGGGATCGAATTCTGCGAAAGGCATATTGTCAGTTCCGATGGAATTGAGCGGCAGGCAACTAAGGATATGATTGTTTTGAAGAAGTTTGAATTCTTCTTTGCCTGCCGTTCAGTTCCATCAGCCTGATGAACTACATCAAAGGAGGGTAGCAAATGAGATGGTTAAAATTGCATTTTTTTGCGTGATGTGATACATCGTATCTCTTGAAAAGAGTTCCCCATAGGATCCTACTTTATATAATTCGCTAAGTGTGTCTGTTGGTGTGCCGGTGTGTTTGTGTGTTTGTGTGTGTGTGTGTGTGTGTGTGTGTGTGTCGGTGTGTGTGCCTGACCGGAAATTCATAACTCCTGTCCCCGTGGACCTAGAGCGTTCAAATTCGGTAGGAGTAAGCGGAGCAGGATGGGAACACCTATGGTAGGTGGCAGGACCGGACTCCGTTCACAGGGAGCGCGGCGTGCGCGTTAGAAATTTTCGGCCGCAAATTCATAACTCCTGTTCCTGTGGACCTAGAAAGCTCAAATTCGACAGGAATACAGGGGGCAGCATGGGAACACGTATGACAGGTGGTAGGATCAGACTCCACCCACAGGGGGCAGGTCGGGCGCGATAGGTGGAACAGCATTCTAATAAGTGATGCAGGATATGACGGGATCGTAGGGACTCGGTGACAGGAACTGATGATAACTGATAAGAGAAGATAAAGGACCTAAGAGTGCCACCTACCGATCGAAATCCTAACATCTTCGGTATCTACGATGTAGCTTTGACCCCTCAGTATGTTTCATTCGATAAGATGGGATGGTAGAGCAGGGTGACAAAAAAGAGTGGTAAGTGCAGCGATAAGGCAATACGATAAGCAGATTAGAACTTTGTTCATTTCTTACTATTAGATTACGACCGCTACTCAGCAAGGTTTGTGATTCAATGAAGATTCCTCTTTGCTCGATGTCATTTGCGACAAAACTTATTCGACCGCCTGTAATCTAGAATTCTCAACAAGTGACATCTCCGTAAAGAAAAGGGTCCATTGATAAAGAACATCTGATAACGGTGCTATCATCGCTCAGAACATCTCCACAGCATCATCTTTGATTGTCTAACAGTTGGATTTTTGATGGGTATTTATTGCAAAGATAGAGAGCAAAAGTTTGAGACTTCCAATCGAAGGCGTAAGCACCGACTTTAACTGAATACCATTTGCACTGCCCTATTAGTCCTGTGTCAAATTTCGTGTACAGGAAACTGCCATTTGTTCCAAAAAAGGAGTGGAGAGTTAGACTTACTACAACTATCAAAGAAAGAGGGAAGCTTTCAATTGTGTCAAAGAAAGACTTCGAGCTCTGTTTCAGTTTCATACCCTCACTTAGCTACACACGGAAAAAACTTAAAGACTATAAACTTTGAAAAAGGGTATAAAATTCTTCAGTTCAACATTTCTCGGGATAGGGTGTTTGACACAAGAAGGAGGAGAGCCTGGCGTTAGCCGGGCGATCCGACTGGTTGTGAAAATAATAGGTTTGTTTACCCTCTCATTCGCTACCCTCCTTCGATGTAGTTCAGCAGGTCGATGTGTTCAAGCAGGAAGCAAACATGGTTGAATATGTAGCCGACAAAGTATTCTGAGGCGGTCTCATGGATCGAGAAGAGCTAAAGCATATAAGAGCGCTAAGTACGGATCCATGCATCTTTGGTAGTGCAGTGAAGAGTGCCCAATTGTAGATAACCTCGAAATAGGGATATCATGGAAACTTCCTGATTGGAACGTTCAAGCAGGTGCTATCACAGTTCCAGAGGGGTGATTCGGAAGAAGAACCTATTTAAGATGTAAATGCTCAAGAGTTCTCGTCCAGCTTGAAGAATCGAAAGACAAGGAACTAATCTTAATTTTGTACCTTCTTAAGAACTCGTTCGACTTCTCGTTTACTGATAAGTTAACGTTCGACCTCTTTTATGACTGATCTTCATGGATTATCGTTTTTTCTGGGAAGTCACCCATTGGCTATAACCCGCGACAGCTCTTGGTTTCCAATTTCCTTCACAGGTGGAATGGAAGAAATGTCACAGATTATCACAGGGAAAGGATCCAGTTGAATAGTTCCTGGGAAATAAATACTAACCTATTTTTGAAGGAGAAGTCCGTTGCACGCGTCCGTCAGAAGTAGGTCACCCCGCCCATTCGCGCGCGGCGAACCCCACTGAGTTCTCAGGATGACATTACAGTACCACCAAGTGTCAGTGGAGCGAACCGATTTACATTTGTCCGTGTTATCTTCTCTTTGGCTGACTGCCATGGACCGAGCGCAAATCGTATGCCCCACTGACAACTGCGACAGTCCGCCAAGGGGAGGCGGTCGTTTGGCGCGATGGGGGGGGTCGNTGGGGGGGGGGGGGGGGGGGGGGGGGTCGCGCCGCCCATTTGAGGCGGTTCGCGAGGTGAACAACTCGTTCACATTGGATAACCCTCTGTCCTCTCCAGCTGATAGAAGCGCGACCATGAGGCCGCTACTATGTATTGGACGCCAAATTGCGGACCTACTTGTATTCTGCCTACATATATGATCCATTTGGCACTTTTGCGTGATTTTTTATTGCATTTTGTGCTTCACAATCCCCTTTCTCTAAAGATACTGTCAAGCTGCAACAAAAAGCAATGAAAAATCACGCAAAAGCGCCAAATGGATCATGTATATAGGCAGAATGGGTGTGTGTCAAGTCGTGCGTCCGAGAGGGCGCGCGGCGAAGTTCGTGGCGAGTTTGGGCGACTCCGGCGCCTATCATTGTGGCCCAAATCTGAAGTAGGGTAGATTAGTAAGGTCAGCTGATCCTACTATTCTACTGTACTTCAAAATTGGGCCCAAATAATAGGCGCTAAAGTCGTCAGAATAGGTATGAATTTTGCCGCCCCATTTGCCGCGCGCACCCTCGGACGCACGACTTGACCGTCCCCCAGGCAGAATACATGTAGGTCCGCAATTCGGCGTCCAATAGTAGCGGCCTCATGATCGCGCTTCTATCAGCTGGAGAGGACAGACAGAGGGTTATCCGATGTGAGCGAGTTGTTCACCTCGCGAACCGCCTCAAATGGGCGGCGCGACCCCGTTCATCGCGCCAAACGACATACACCCCCGCCAAGTATTGCGGGCTGATCCGTCGCATGCGACGGCTGGGGCATGACCCAGTTTCGACGGATGCGCGCAACGAAGTGCACCCATTTTTGAACGGTGATCGCCGACCTGCCTCAGTCGTTGGCAAAATGGCATTCCAGTCGTTAACGAAGTACGCCCGTGGAAGCGAGCAACGAAGTCTGCGTTCCGAAACACTTCGAAGTAATTTTGTAAGGATAATGACGAAGAGCGTGTTCCTCTTCCGTGCCTTCATTCTACGCTTTTTCGCGATTTAAAAATTGTCCAACATGTTCAGTATTGGGTTGGTGCATAATTACTGCATATTTTTTCGAAAGAGTTTATTCAACAAGAAGCTATTTAATAAAAAGATGCCCTAATAATTACTCCGAGCGCACTCATTATCCACGTCGAGCATTGTTTCTCATTTTCCAAGCAGTTTTTCGCTTCCTTGGACGAAGTTTTGATTCGTTGAGGCGATCCAGGCTTTGACTCGACCACCAAGTCATCAAATTCGTCGCAACTTTTGTTCATCAGCCAAATTTTCAAAGAACGATTGACGAGGTAGTCCCTAGGAGTTCCTGTCGGTGAGTATAGCGGATGTAGGAGCAGACCTCACCCCTCGATGATGATCGATTCGTCGACACGATATTCATCATGAGGACGAGCGTAACCATGATGGGAGACAATATGACTCTTCTTAAGAATTTTCTCTTTTATCAGGAAAAAAATTTTTCTTATGAATAAAAAACTTCTTTTGAGTTTTCGCTTGGATTGCAGCGGTACAGTGCATACTGAAGAGGTAAGTCTGCGCTTCGAATCACAAGGCTGATTATTATATTTATGGGTGCTCATGTCCCTTATCCCATTTCTGAAGCTGTCATCTTGAGAGGTGCAGCACTGGGTGACGAATACAGAAGGTGGAAGCCTATCCTACATCACTTTTGACCGTTCCTTTTACCTAAAGTGGGTTGCCTTTTTTGTGAAACGCCCATCCACATTGGCGAGAACCCTGTTCAGATTAGTTTTCCCTATCACAAAAGTACTGTTTGCGCCTGCAGTTATTGTATAACTTCTACGCTCTTCATTATTTCGTCAACTGCTAAGTATTTTCGGATTTGGGCTTTCTATTTCACCAAACCCAATTTGGCAGCCGAAATGTCTTGAAACTTAAGCTCACCTATTTGATTTAATTGCTTTCCACGCACTGTTGCGTCCGTCTACAATGAGCAGTTGACCACTTTTCTTGGCTCAGGCATATTCGTCGACCTGTCATAGCAAAATCTTTAGCTCATGCTTCATACAATTAGGTACTCACTGTGTCTATTATTAACATTATTCAATTCTTCTTTAATTCTCCTTCTGCAATTCATATCCACTCGTTTTCAATGCCCTTCAGGCTTTCAAACACGGATCTGAAAATTGAATTGCTTCAACTCCAACCATTTAATACCCATTCCGCCTGTCTTCAACGCCTGACTACGCTTCTCTTGCCACTTCCTTCCCACTTTTTTCCTAGAAATGAACTGCTGATCCTAGCTTCGCTTACCTCAGCGCATTCCCTGCTTACCACGAACATTTGGTCTTTGCTTCGGTGGTCCCAACCTGCTTTTCCCTGATTCTGAAATCCTAGTTCAATATTTTTGAACAATTATTAGCAAATATTAATTTGGCACGTTCTAATTGATAGACTGATAGATGAGAGAATGAACAAAAAGGTTGGCAGAAAGCGAAGTGCATGAATACACGAAAAAGAAGTCAGCTGAGCACATTTCATCAACAATCTTGGCAAAGTGTGCGCTTATTATCGAGGAAGCCCGTCTTCCATCGTTTATCAAAACCATGCTGAACTATTTTAGTTAGGAAATATTAGCCCACACCTCTCGACTTGCTTTATCTTTCCTTTTCTCAGAAGCATGATCTTGATCGAGAAGACTCTGCCAGCCTGGAAAATCTTCAGTTCGACAAAAATCTCAACTCCATGGTCCTCATTGGAACTCAGATTGAAAAGCTTACGGTTCGCCTTTCTCACAATATTTTTTTTTCTGAAACAATTGTTGTTTTTCGCGAGAGTTTTGGAAAGAGATGGAAATGGAGTCATCGGAACGGATGATCGCCGTTATTGAAAGAATTCTGCTGAAGATGCTCAAACACTGCCCAATTCCAGATCAACCATGAAAGTATACTTTGGACCATTTGATAGGAAGTCGTGTTGAAAGCTAGACATCCATGTGACTAGGTGACCTGACAGCACCTCACATTATGGACCCCTCGACAAGTAAAAAAAGATTGGGGTGATGACTAAGAACGGAAAAGTGGGCCCTTGCCCTTAAATTTCAATTATCTCTTCGGAAGATGGGACATAGAATCGTTTTCAAGGGAGTTAGTCGAGCGACAGCGCCTTTCTCTTTCCTAACTCTTCTTTTGCTGTTAGATAAAAATTCTCCGAAAATATAAATTCTAATGGAATAAATTATCTAATCACAGCATATACTACAGTAAAAATCATCGTTCAGTCTCAGTCACAAGAAGCGACGACTCAATCGAAAGTCAAAGGAGCTCCAGGACAACGTCCCGAGGTTCGCCGTTTGTTCCACCTCGTTGATTATACATATGATACAAGCCAACAGCACCATGAATTCAATTACCAACTTAACTTTCATAATTTCAGGAGCCCGCTGCAGAGCCGGCAGAAGCTCCTGGAACAAAAAAGAAGGATTTAGTAAGTTTTAGACCATGCTGGGTTTTGTTAAAGGCACTGTTCACGATAGTTTCCGAGATTTTTTTGTCAGAATAAACCTGTGAATAAGAATAATAGAACATCGGCCGTTGTCGTGTTGAAAAACGACTCAGGCAGGGAACAATTAGGGCTCCGAACCAGGTTTGCCCGACACAGACACATCAGAGGGATTTTGGCGTCCCGTTAGTATGTGACACCGTAACCCCCTAGTACCCCATCCACCCCGTGGGCTTCACCCGGGCTACCTTTCCTTTACGTCGTATATGTGATGGGTGTTTTGGAGGGGCTTCAGCGTGTATTTGAGTTACTGTTTCACACATTCACGGAACGATAGAGAAATCCGTCTTGTCACAGACACTCAAATGGCTGTATTTTATATGCCATTTCTTGCGTTGCCCATCTGGAATAGAGAGTTTAGCAAATCTTTCACGTCTTTCAATCTTTCATGGCGACGAGATTTATAACACATTCAGAGCATTCTCGGAATAGTTGCTGCCAGCTAACAAAAAGTTTTTCAGCAAGAAGGCCAAGAAAAGCCAGCTGGTAGCAAGGAGTCAAAAGGAGAGAGCGGAGCGGCGGCTGGCTCTTCTGACCAGCCTAGGCAGGAAGGTGGAAAACTCGTCGAAAAGTCATCGATCGACGACAGGAAAAAGTGATTGCAAAAAGCTATTATACACAAAACGTGTCATTAGTCTACTTCTTCATAATTACGGCGCGATTCATACCACAATAAAAAAATAAATGAATGCCATAATTATCGAGAGATATTCATTCCTTCGGCCATTTTTCGCACACAGTGAAGCAGCCCTTCGCCCTGTTTTTTCCTCATTCCTTCTAATCGTAGACCTCCAATCTCTACTCTCATGACCTGCAGCTGTTCATAAGCCTTTGAGGCCATTGATGGTTGAAGATGCCAGCTGTCTTGGGAGTTTTAGTCGTCTGAAGATATAACGTGCCAAAAGCATTTCCAGAAGTGAAGTGAAAATGAACTCACAGCTTAGTTTCGTCAGTTCAAAACCCTGTCAAGCTTTTGGCATCATCAGGAAAGAGTTATTGTGATCCACCCAATGAAATGCAAAACGACCGAATGAATTGTCAAAGCTGAGAAAAAATTAGAACGAGCGTCAGCTCGCGCTGTCATCATAGTTTTGCCCACCGCGTGGTCCACAAATGTGGTGTGTCTGTTTGTGTGTACGTATGTTTATTCCTTGTTTGCTTGTCTGTTAGTCGCGAAATTCGCCATAGTCTGAAGAAGCACCTACAAAAGTCGGGTCATGTTCGCGATGCTAGAGGCATAGGGCAAGATCAACAGAGCGCACATGACTTCAACGAAGCATTGCTAAAGGGGCTGGGACGACCGCCGAAATAGACAGTGCCAATGTCGAAACTTGTCAGGTAATTTTCATTAGGTTGAGTCATAAGTCCTCGTGATAGTGATGACTTCTAGAGATCATAACTCAGGAAAAAGGAAAAGAAAATGGACGCGCGTGTCATTGTTAGATAAAGTATGAGAAGCCCTTCGAAACACATACTAACGAACACACCTAACTGTTTAATTTCCTGCAACCATGCCCCATGATTTCAAGCCGTCGCAACTCCACCTCCAAAACAGCATCCTATTTCTAATATTATTCAGTGCTTCTGTGCAACACAAGTTTTTTAACGGTGGAATTTTTATTCGCCTGACGTTTCGACAAAATCGTCGTTTTCAAAGATCTGAAAGCNTATCGAAACTTCAGGGTGCTACCTATCACGCTTGACGTAGACCAGTTCTTAACTAGTTGCAACTCACACCGCTGAACTTACAACTAAGTAGAAATTCTAAGAAGTCACTTGCGTCAATTCCACCAACACCGAACGATTGTTCAACTCGATAGAGCAATTAAGACAGCTCAGACAACCACGACTCTTTAATAGTATCGTGACGTGACACGTATCTTTCTCTACTATCAGAGCTCGCATAGAGGGATGAAAAGCAAGAGGTCACCAGTTATTTTGATGCACTCGTTCTTGCTATTCATGCTTGGATTTCGGTGTCTTATCCAGAAACCCTCTAGAGTCTTTCTGGCACCAATACTGTCTTCGTTGGGCAAAATCGTGCATATAACGTCAAAGTCACAACCAGCATGGCCTTCTCTTCTGTGCTTCCAAAGCGGTACAATCGAGCAATACCTTCGTTTGCTAGGTAGATGTCCTTTTACACGAATGGATAACTGTCTCCCAGTTTCTCCAATATAGCAAGCACCACAAGTCAAACACTGAAGTTGGTAAACCACAGCTTTTTGCGCTCAGTCTCCTACTTTTCCATATGGGCACGACATAGACACGATTTCTAACCAATTGTTGTTTAATGTTTTCTCTTGGTGTGTTAACCAAGGAAACGTCATTGGCTACATCCGCTCTTCCCAAGCATTGCTGATTAACTGCGCTGAATCGATTTGATATGAATGGTGACTGGAGATAAATTTTAACTTCAATCCCGTATGGAAAAGGCCTTGTTCTGCCTTGTGAGCCATGCTGCCGAGTTGTGTATCCATTTAGATTGGCTATTTGGTGTGCCGACCTTCTGGACTCTTCCCGCTCATCGTTACCGGTGCACACCTCCGCAGCCGTTCTGTACATGTTCCGTAATACTGCGCGTTTGACAGCTCTGGGGTGTGCCGACATTGCATGAATGATGATATTCTTGCACTTTCCTTCTCTATACCATTTCACACTGTATGTTCCACTGGTAACCCTTACCTGCGTATTCAAAAAGGGTGACCAGCCTTCGTGCCGAACTTCTCGAATTAGCTTGATGTACTGCGATTGACTGTTTAGAATGTTGAACAACTCATGCATTTCTGACTGAGTTGATGTTATGACGAAACGGTCGTCAATGTAGCGGCAGTACATTATGGGTAGGCGTGCTAGCACTGGTTGTGCAATTCTACTCATGAAGCAGACAGCAAGAACCGGTGCTAGCCGCTGTCCCATCGCAAGCCCTCTCATCTATGAAAAGTATCTCCTTGACCACTTAAATATATTGCAGTTCAAGCACTCCTTGATGAGGGCCATTGTTTGCGCTTCGCTCAATCCGAACGTCACCACACTTCTCTCATGCTGATCATTTTTGAAACTGCTTGCAAAGCATCGTTGTTGCTAACGTTGGTGTAGAGCGCAGACACGTCAAATGACTCGACAACACAGTCGCGTTGAAATCTGCAAGCACGTTAGCGATCCAAGAAGTGTTCCGTATTCGGCAGATGTGATGGTATATGGACTAGGAGTTGACCGATGATTTTATTCAGAAACCATGAAATGCGATCGGTCGGTCCATTCACACAACTGATTATAGGCCTAATTTTGTAAGCCTGCGGCAGACGAGACTGCATGTTTTCAGCAGACAACTTATGGGTTTTGATTAGGATGTACAATACTGGGCACGTGGGGTTTTCCAGCTTCAGCCTTCTTTCATCCAATTCTGCCATCTTTCTCACTTTGACCCACACGGTGTTTAACTTGTGTGTTTGCACATGAAAGGCTTTTTCTGTCGTGTTGCGTTAGACTGTTGTTCTGTTAGGTGAAGTTCTGTGATTTCCTTGTCTAAAGACGGGGTAATAAAACAAATTCTCCACCTCTATCGTTAACAGAAAGGCGTACTTCATTCCGTTTTATTCCTTCCCGGAGTTCTTTGAACCCTTCCCATTGCTCGCGTGTCAGATTGAAGCGCTTTTCGCACTTGAATCTATTAAGCGCGTTCAGAACTCCTGTTGACAAGATTCGGAACTTAATATCCGCTCCCGGGAAGGGATCAGATTCTTTATAGAATGACCGTGGGAATGGAATAGGTGTTGGAGTAGCACGCTCTAGCCTTTCAACTGCCTGTCCCTGGGAGTCGCGTCGTGTTTCCGTTCTCAGTTAGTCTCTGAACATACAATTTTACGGATGGTAAGCGGATTGATCGTTTGTTTATGCTTATTAATCGTTTATTAGTTACCAGTCGGGCCGCCCGGCTAACGCCGGGCTTCCCTCCTTCTTGTATGTACGCCCGGCTTCGCCGGGCGCTCCTCCATCTTAC